TAATTAAATATTAAAATAAACATAATAATGTGGTTTTTAATCGCTTATAACGTATAACAAGTGTTGGTTAAGTTTTTTCTAGATTTTATTTAGTTTTAAGAAATTACACAATGGTGTCACAGTGATTTTAATCTAGAGAGGAAAGCATGAGTGTTGAACCATTCTCATCTTTCAGTTACCTACTTTATTTTTTTATTATTAAATTTTTTGTTATTTTTGTTATTATATAAATTATAACTATTATGATTAAAATGGACGGGTTTAAAGAGATAGACTTTTAGACTTAGGTTGAGGTACTTATAAATAGCTAGACTAAAATCTATACTAAAATATGCAAAGACAGTAAGTGTATGCCTCAAGTCTATAATATCTAATCATCAGTTATAATAGTATTGTTAAATATAAGATGGCGGAATTTATCGATAATATATATAATGTAATCAACACGTAAAACACTTATTTTCTCTACAGTTTTTTTATTATTCAAGTATAATCTAGATAGAGTTAATAGTTAAAATAGTTAATATATATGAAAATGGTTTCATTTTAATACTAAATAATAATAGTTGTTAATTTCAAGTCATTAAAATAATTGAATTGATATCAATATGCAATAAATCATTTTTTATAAAAAAATATTTATAATTACTAACACCCGTTTTATTTAAGTTGCAAATAATTTTTTTCCTGCCGTCTCATTGCGTCGTTTATAAGGAATTTACTGATTTTTGATTTTGAATTATTAAATATTGATTTAAAATTATATAACTTTAAAATTTTTTTTTTCGGGACTGAACGACATAAATTATTAAAATTAATTTTTATAAAAATTGTCAAAGAAACAATTGGGTTTCTTAAAAAAGTTATGTTTGAGGAAGCGTATAATAATGGGTAAAATTTTAATGTAGACAATTTTCATAGTATGGTACTTAGAACGGTTTCCAGACATACCACAATACTTGCATTTTTTATATCAAATATATGAAACATTATAAAACATTCTAATAATATTGAATACATGTTTGACAACATTTCGAAAAGGTTAAACTGTTTTTACTGTTTGTGGTACGTTAAATGTATTGTACAGTGTATGATATATTTTAACGTCTTCTATAAGAACAAAATATAGCGGTAATTCAATTGAACGTTGAGTAAAACCGGTAACTGTATTATATTGTAGGCGAGAACGGTATTTTTCACCTTTTAACGTTTTAATTATCACAAGCCGACGGTTTTTATAGCATTTTACGGCACGACACGTACACTATTATTTAATTGAGAGTTGTGCCTGTCGGGATGACATAATGGAGCGGCTTAATACGGTTGTCATTTTAATGACTACAGAAGAAATATACTAATTACAATTTATAACAACAACAGCGACACAGTATAGCTGCAGCTATTTGAGCCGATAATAACGCGCAAGATCTGTAAGATAATACATAATATATTATATCGAGTAATAATGTGCAGTTGACAATAAAGCGGTTAAGAAGCGGATTAACTTTCAAAAACTCTTTACGAGCCCAATAAAGCATATACCGTTGTTTTTAATACGGTCTCTTGCAGCTTCATATAAATTATAATTGTATTTCACACTGATCTTTCGACAACAATAGGGCGAGACAAAAGCAGCAATGCAAGTGGCAAAAGAAAAAAAACACCACCACCCCCACTCAAAGGATAAAACCATAACGCCTCGTAAATTTCAATAACGCAAAATGGGTCGGACGAGTTCACTAATTAAGGGTCAACACATTTGTGTCTGTTTTATAACACTATATACCTGTATAAATAACAAATAATATAAATAATAATATAATATATGGTAAAACAACAACAGAAAGTCGAGGAAAATAATATTATTCAATTCCTCGAATGCTGCTTCTAAAACACATTCGGACAAATAATACTTTCACACTATTTATGAAAATACTAAACATTATAAACACGGTTAAAACCCTCATATCCACAAAGCTAAAATAATAAAAAAACAGTACTATAATACACTCTATTATTAGGAATTTGGGGTTTTTTATAGTACATAATAAATATTTTTTCTTGTTTAGGAACTGATTTTTGAAGCACCGATTTGGGTTTGAGAAGGTTTCTTTGTGTCTGGTAGTATATCTGTACAACAGAAATTGTACATGGAAGGTATTTCTTGAAGGTATAAGTTGAAAAACTTCCCCTCTTTCCCTTCAAATTAGTGAAAACCTCTTAAAATCGGCACATTTTTCATACAGAAAATAAATAACTCTACAGATAACCGAAAAATAGTAGAATTGGCTCCAAATTTCGTTTTGATATTTTTTAGACATGGACCATAATAGTACAAATAAATAATTACAATTTTTTTCTGATGTAAAAATCTACAGAAATATTGCCAGTATCCGTTGCTTTCTTCATGGTATACTTTTAACAATAATAACAATCTTTATAATATGCAGGCGGTTTGTTGTGCGGGCAGCTGTCTGGGGAAAAAATGGCCACCTGCACCTCTCTCTGGGGCCAACTTGTTTAGTAACGTTAAGTCGGCATCCAGCTATAAGCCCCCAAAAAATACCAAATCTAAACCGTCAAGCCCGGATCGGTGGGAATAACGGATGTTAAACGTGAGAGAGAGAGAGAATAATTTTTATTATATCCTATCTTAAATGTTATCATTATTACTTTTTACACATTAAATCAGCATTTATTTATAACTATATTTTACACAGGGCATAATAACTTATTGCCATATTATGAATTAATTTTTAAAAAAGTTTTAAGTTAAAATTATGCTACATAAGTTGATATCGAATCTCTGTACTTTGATTGTCACTTAGCTTCAGTAACTGTATTGTTATTAATCGCAATTTATTTGAAATTTTTATCATATTCTACAAGTTTTTTTAGCATATCGATTTTCATTGAACTTCTTTCATTTTTTTCGCTCATTTTGTTTGTTTTTCATAGCTGACAATATAATAAACTCGAAGTCATAAAACTTGTTATCAAATGAAAAGAATCAGCTGACGTGGTAACTTTATTTATGTGTTTTTATATGATAAATTATAACGTCGTCTCACTAAAATATAAGTAAGAAACTTCTAAATTTTTATCTCCTGCTGTTTTTTTATAACTCAGCCGTTCATAAAAATGAAAAATATAAGTAGCTGTACACAATATAATACACTGTAGAATGTATTATCAATTTTAACCCCTATAGCTAAGTATTAGTTGTAAAATAATATTATAAAATCCAGTTCATTTATTTTAATGTATTGAATTTATTCTTATATAAGAACTTATGTAAGATTAATATCGTTTTATTTACTAAATTTTAACTGTATCATTAACGATTAAACCTATATTTTCAAATTTCTGTAAAAAAAACTTTAAAAAATCGAAGATGATATCGAATGAAAAATGTTTTCTAATTACTAAAAAGAAATATCTATTTTTCCCTCATTTTGATAGTATTTATTTTAATTTTAAAAATACACAAAAAAAATGCATCAATACTATACAAGAAAAAAAGGATTCATTAATTTATTTTGAATTGCAATTTCATTTTAACTTGACCTAACTCAATAATATTAATTGTTAAAGTATTTTCAACTTTTGGTTTTATTGAATACAATATATAACCCAAAAAAATCAGTATTGAAAATTATCTAGATAAATTATGTCGATATTATTTTAAGTTTATGTACACTAGATTAGTCGTATACTAGATTTTGCATTAATTTTAATTTAACACTTTATGTTATTTTATATGAATAATTGTATCAATATATGTAAAAAATATATTTAAGAAAAATTGTAATTTAAAAAAATTACAATTTTGAAGTTCGTTTTTATTAAAAACATTTTTGATTATGTGAATTCAGAATGTTATAAAATTACTTAAAATATTTACCTTATTTAGTATTTTTTAGAACTGTATTAACTCTTGAAACTTGTATATGTATTAATATATTTAATTAAATTTCCAAATAAAAAATGATTTACTGAAAATCTTGAATAGTCGATAACAAGTTTTGGATAATTACTTTTAAAAATATTAAAGTTTAAATTTTAGGACTAAAAGTAGGGCGGAGTGTATTATTATTTTTATCTGCGAGTGTTATTACCTAGATACATTTTTATTTAAAATTGTTATCATTTAGATAAAAAAAACGTGCCATCTACATTATCACATCTAAATAATATTTTACGGAATTCTCTGCTATCGTATTTAGATAATTAAATAATTATATTTGCATAGTACACCGCAATACACAGGCCATTAACTAAATACATTTCCATATTTCATTGTATGACAGCCGAAACGGGTTTCAGTAGCTTGTAATATGATAATCTACAATTCCAATACAACTAGTAATATTAACTAGATAATATTGTACATTTTGGTAGTCTATGTAAATTTCGGGTAATCGGATGTAATCAACCGGCTGTGGTTCTACTATGGATGGACCTAAAACCGATCACGTTAGACTACCTCTTCGTGGAAAACATAATTTGCTACTTACACACGGTTACGAAGTAGATTTTCGGGTGTACCCTTTTGTAATATTTAACAGAAAGGACTAAACCGGAAACGCATGTTAAAACAAATACCTATCCTCCTCCGCAGGACACCATGTACCTGATCTGTACGATGGTAAATGTTGTAGATAAGAAAATTATACCAATAATTTAAAATTATGATCATCATCTTCCACCGTAAGCGATGAAAGTCCAGTATATATTTACTTAGCTGAAATTTGACTATTTGTGATACCACAATGAGAGTGAACAAAACCGGAAAATGATAAAAACAATTTAAAATTTTAGGAAATTTTTCCAATAAATTGCAAGCAATATACATCTTAAATAACAACAGGCTGTTCAGTTGTGAAATATCACCCAAAATCGTTTTATTGTGAATTATTTCACGATTAGTCCACGACGATCGCTGAACGTGGCGAAAGCAGAAATAATAATTGTTAAAAAGAAAAACATCTTTTACTTACGTTAACGTCATCGTGGTCTATGCAAGTCGTGTAGTTTGACCAGACGGCACCGGAAGCAGGATGTCGAAACCAAGTGGCATCTTTGTTGCAAATTTTGTAGGCGGTTCCTAAAAACAGTTACATATTCATCAGTTCCATCGCATCGGTTAAGTGGAAACTACAGTCCGAAAACTGTACGTTTGTTTGCCGACTAAATGCACAGTTCAAATGTGGTTATTTTTGGAGATATCTAAAATAATTTCAAACCGGTTACTTGATTGCTAAATTCGAATTAAATATATAATATTATTAGTAATGGTAATAATTGTCTATAGGTGTATAAAAGTGAATGTAAAGTATGATAGTAGTTGTACAGAAAACGTAGTCTGTAAAGTTTAATTATTTAATTTTGATTAAATATTTTTTTCATAAAAAAATTATATAAACCCAAATTTATTATTATAATAAATTACCAGATATGCTTGTCAGTTTAACGTACTGACGTTAATATGACACTAACAATAAATCCGGTCGCCTTAAAATAACAAAATTCTTAAAACGTACATACTATTTGAGTTTATTTTAAGCAACATATCCCAATTTACTAATTGCCAACTAGAGTATTACAATTATCAGACATTTTAAATTATTAATAGGTTTCAATTTAGTCGGCATATAATTTACATAGTTATTCTGTACTTTAGCCTCTTTTTCAGTTAACACTAAGTCGAACACTCTTAAAATTTTCATTGTCTGTACTCATCTTTTGGCAATTCATTCATCTCTCCACTTGATAATAGCCACCCTATCAATCGTCTACGCCTACCAACAAGTTCCACTACAGCTATAGTCAGAGAATAATTATTGCCATTACAAACTGAATCGTATTTTATTTAGACAATTTAAAGAAGACATTTTGTGTAATTGAATAGTGTACGCTTTACAGAATATTTCTGTATTAAACAAGAATGTGTTACTAAATTTTGAATTGAATGACGAAGAAAACTGAACTTTATATACTTTGTGTTCTATATTCATAAGATACATGTTTTATAAGTTAAAACGCTTGGAAAAAATGAAAGGCATGCGTTATACACAGTCCAGTCATGGTATTTGAATTGCGACAATTGATACATATCAAATAGTCTTTAAGTCATAAATTCCACGACATCAGTATTGAACTATGATAAAGTATACACAATTTCCGCTATTACACAATACCTACATAAAATGTAGATATTTTATAACTGAGCGGCTTAAAAAAACCGTGTGTAAACATATTTCAATATTACCTTTTTGGTTTATTCTATATAGAATCGAAAAATGTCTTAAAGTAGACCAAATTTGGAAAAAAAACTGTATTGTAGTATCAACATCATAATATTATTTATTATTCATTAAAAAGTGTACTAAAAAATTTAAATGACCATGCCGAGGTAATAAAATGAGTAATGACTTGTAGTTCAAAAAACAAATTTAAGTATAATTTTCCATTTTCGAACCTAGTAGACAAAATTTCAGAAGTTTTTTTTATTAGTATTATCAATAATCGTTTAAGATAAAACAATAAATTCTATTCAACTGAATAAGTTTTTTGTTTGCTATAAACTTGTATGCAAAATGAAAACGCAATAATCAAACATTTTATATTATATTATTAAACGATTATTTTATCGGAAAAGTTTTTTATTAAATTATAATAAAACAAAATATTTTCAGTGAGATATTGGAAGACCATCCGCAAATTAAATATTTTTACTCTACTTGTTTTTAGATAAACATTGAAATCGAACAATAAACTAAACAGCCAATATTTGTTTTTATTAGTATGTTTTTTTAACAAAAATGTATATGCCTACTAACTTTTGCCCAAAACACAATTCCAATAAATTGATTTTTCATTTTTTATTTTACATACATATTTTCATATAATAATAAGCAGTACGTTTGCGTATAATTGATCAAGTTGGCACATATGTTATATATGATAATATATTGTGAACCTAATAAGAATATACAAATAGTCTTTGGCCATTGGACGGATTAGATGTCAAATATAAATATAGTTATTAGTACGATGCCATTACAGTTCTGTACTTGTTGAAAACTACATTAATATTATTATGTGAAGACCCTAACTAGGTCACCCATTAAATTTTTTTTTAATGATGTCTAATACCATTATGTTAAAAAAAATTAAAGTTCGAATAGTTCATTAGGTAACCCTTCCAATTTTTTAATTGGGGTCAATTTTATTGTTATTTTTTTTTCTTGCCTCGTGTTTCGATTTACCTCATAATCCATGATATGATCATAAAAATGTCATTATTTAAATACTAAAAAATAGGAAGTAGCTATCTAATAAATTATAGTATTGTTATACAAAATGTATATGTTATATTTCATAATTTTCTATATTAAAAAAGTTAACTAGTTTGGAGACGGTAAAAAATCACTATTATTATAAATATATTTCTATACGAATTCGTGGTCGATTTTAAAAAAATTATGTCAAATATACTAATCTATGTATATAATATACCTGTTTGTGCAGATAAAGTATTATAACAATATTTATTTATTCATTATTGCTATATTTCTTCTCAATCTTTCAATAAATCAATCACACGAAAAAAATAAGTAATCATAAAACCATAAAAAAAAACACTCACCTTATATGAATAATTTTTTTTTAGAGTATTAAGCAAAAACAATTAGCAGAGTGCATTTGCGGAAAATTTCACTGTGATCCATAACGAATTTTTTTTTTTTAAACAAGTTTTTTTATAGTAAACAGTTTTGAAATGAATGTTGATTATACAAATTGTCATCAATCTGAAAAGTATATATTATTGAAATTGAGTAGATTTTAAAGTTTTAATTAAATTCCGAAATTTGTCAACTGGTGTCTTAAAAAATAAAAAAAATAATAAATAAGTCTCTTAGAGTTGTTATAACGTTTGTATGGTCCACTGATATCGGTATATTTATTAAGGGGGTAAAATACAAGCAATATTTGAAAAAATTTAATCTAGAAGAGTTTTTGATCGTGTCGACTTACAAACTAATATAATACCATGTTAGTACCATAATTTATCTAAAAGGTCGTTTTATAATAGTTTGCATCTTTAGAAAAATTATGGAATTCACAGAATGCATTTAATATCCGTTCAGCTATATTATATTAAAAAGTATGCTCGTAAAACATATTGCATCGTTGAAATTATTTTAAAATACTTCATGTTTTCTGAACACGGTTTGATAAAAAACATCAATCTATATAGAATGTGAGTAAAAAATGTAAATGCTTTATTATTGAGTTCGTGAAAAGCGTGTCGCTAAACAGATTCCAGTATTTAATTTTACTCGGTATTCAAGTACCTCGAAAAATTACATGAGAATTTTTTTCTAAAAAGGTATCTTGATTAAATGGCTTCCTAATTTGTTTTTAGTTAGAAGTTTTCTTTACCTTTTAGCGAGCACCAATTGAAATCAAAATATGAACACTATCTTTTTTATTTATTCGAATAATAATTATCTAAATAAAAAATGTTACCGACTCTGAATAAAACTAGTACTGTATAGGGTTGTATATAAGTTTTAATAGTGATATATACGTTTTTAGCTTGTATAACTTACGAAACTGAGAAGTTGTGTGTTTTATTGTATTAATTACCTAATAATACCTTTGACTTGAGCGTATAAAAATTGATTAATTTAAAATTAATCCAACCGGAAGCGAGGAGTATTGTATTATACCTATTACCGGTAACAATAAACGACAAAAGCTCCGAAGTGAACGCATTTACTACCTCTACTGAAAACACACTGTATCAATTAAACGGATTAGACGAACGGTGAAATTGGCTGAAAGAGTTTGAGAAGTGAGTGAAGACGTAGCTGGCCTGGCTAGTGTATTATTACTAGATATAGTCGACGGGAAAAGGCAATGAAACACTGAAAATGTTGAAAATAAATGCGAAAGAGTGGTACATTTGAAACGAGGAAAGTTATAAATTGCCGAGGCGTGTATGAGTTGTGCGGTATTAGCTAAGGCAGTTAAGTATACAGGACGCCTCCTAATAAGAATTGACAAGGCGCTACAGACACCGAAGGAAAGGGAGAGGGGAGGGCGTAGAAAGCTATCCAAAGTCCAGATAGTTTATATATATATATATATACAGTGTGTAGATCTCCAAATTGGAAATAGCCAATAACAAGCGGCCGAGAAACGGCGGCAGAGATTACCTGTATATGTAATAAATGGATTCGTGTAGAACTGAAATTCGCAGTAAGTGTAGAACACTGTTTTGGATCGTTTAGACTGACGTGCGGCACTAATGGTTTTATTATGGAAAAAGGGCATTAAGCCGGCGTTAGGAATTTTAATAATGCCACGGCGAGTGCGTGTGCTTAGGTAACACCTACGCCGCGCACTAGTCGTGTCCAGAGTAGGTATATAAGGTTAATACACAATTCATTAGGCGCCGGCGATACTCATGTCTGGAGTAATGTGATTAAAAAAACTACCTATATATATATATACATATTGATTAAATTATAACGACATAAGTGGCCGTTGGCAAACAGTAATAATATAATTCGGTGGGCGGTCGTTTGAGCTGTTGACGACACACGGTTTTGGGCTAATTATACGCACATAGATTTCATACGACGTATGAAGTATGTTCAGAGATAGGCAAACAGCTGTCCTTCACACATTACACGAGTCTACTTATAACTTAACAAAAGTGCAATGGTTCACAGCTACTTTGAAAAATACCGTGAAAACATAATATTGACATGAATATGTCTTACCTTTGGCGTGGTCATTTCAAAATTTGCATCACGTCACGTCACGGAAGACGGTAGACGTGAAGAAGAGAGGGGTGGAGAAGGGAGGGAAAGGAAAATAAAGAAATATTCATGATCCAATATATTTATTTCAAGGGAAAACTAACGATTTTTATTGTAATAAGCGCGTGGGGAATTTTTCGAGGGTGGCTTTAATAAAGCATAAACACAGTAAAATGTCAAAAATACCACGATGTAAGAAAAACTTAAAAAAGTCATTTGTGTCTTGAAAATATTCCAGGAAAAGAAACGCGAGTTTCTAAGAACAGTAACACCGAAAAAGAATTCTGTAACTAGAAATATGTACAAGTATGTATATATAGTATACAATTTTACACGTTATATACTTAGAAATTGTATATATAATTTTATACACCAAAGTTGAAATCCACGCAAAAAATCCTCTAAGTAGTTCCTACGAGAAGTTTTTAAAATGTAACACTAAGTTTTTATAAGAAAAGTTAACAACAAAATTCGTAGAAAATTCTAATGATGGTACTAAAAGTAATTTGTTTAAAGAGATTATATAATTTTACTTAGAAAACAAAGTGTAAAAACCCTATTTAAAATAGTTGGACAACCGATATATTATATTAAAAAAAAAAAAAAATCCTACATTATTAACTATGAGGTTGGTTTTGAATTTAACAGAGATTCTAGAGATTGAAAACGGGTTTAAGCCAAAATTTACATTGTTTGTTATAGCTACAACAAATCGTTGATTGAAATATTTAATAGTATTATATTCTGATAGTTAGACTTTAAATTTTTCATCCAAGTAAAATTAAACTATTTTAAAGCTTTTACGTTTTTAATCACTGAGAATTTTTTTTAAAAAAATCCACACTTAAAACATTTTTTAGGAATCTTTTAAATAATTGACATAAATAAAAACCGAAACATTTTGCTACTTTTTATCTAAATTTACCACTTGATCTTCGAGCACTAAATTATTTTTTACCTTCGACTCAAATGCTTACAATATTACTAAGCTGATAAATGTTAGTTTTTTTTTCAAGCTTTTCTATCCTCGGTTATGTGGATACACATACGTGTGGATGTGATGGAGAAATTTTATAACTACATTTTATTAAATAACTTTTGCGAATTTCCAAGAATTATAGTCAACAAGATAGTATATACTTTTACCGTGTACATATAAGTGCGTTTCCGTGTAAGATAAATAATATTTACTAGTATTCGAATAGAGCACTCGACTACATCAGCCAAAATAGAAAGTACAACTATTTCTGTAAACTATAAACGAACGTTACACATTGTTCTGGCCCATCGATCAGACGACGTTACAGTTTGTACAAGTATTAGATAGAACATGTTTTTGCTAAAATACTTTTTTTTTTTTTAATATTACACACAACTCGGTTACAAGACCGTCGTTGAACGCGCCTACGTACTGACATTGCCTACATCAGGCGCCGGCCAAATGTTATACCTATTTTATATTTTAATCTATTTTTTTATTGCTTTAGTCGGTTTGAACTCACAAAAAAAAAATAATAGTTTAAAAACAGGAGTAGTCACAAGTGTAGTTTTATTTGATGTACTGTACTAAAAAAATAACCGTTATGTTTTTGATAGACAAACCCTAAGGATATGTTATCCTGTCGCAACTGTAGTAGAACTTTTGTTTTACAGTGTAATTTGTTTTATGTTACTTGTCAAAATGCATTTTATTTAATAAGCCCTGTGTATTACTTAAAGCAAAAATCGAATTTCGTGCATTTTTAACAGAGTTTATATATTTTTTTTTTGCTAAAATTTCATCCTCCAATTCTTCTTATTCATCCAAACGGGTAATTTGAAATGACTGCAAATTAATAGCATTTCTTTTTTTATGAACGACTAACTATTTTATAATATTAGTTTGGAAATAATACTTGATTATCATTTTTAAAACAACAACACATAACTTCTATATGATATCGTAGCAATTAACGCGGTATAATCATTTGTATAGTAAATTGTTTTAAAAGACACCAATTATGCAACGGCGGAGTTTTAAAAACTCAGTTTTTATTACAATATTAGTTTTTTTTTAATACCACAAATATTTTTTTATGTTTATATATTTATAATATATATACATATTATATCATATGAACCCGATTGTTAATACTTTACGATTGGAGATATTTTTTTATAATGAACACGCTTTTGCAAAAAAACACTACCTTTTTTATTTTATGCATATTTAAACGAAAAAAATGTTTTGAAATATTTCGAATCATATTACAGAAACTGTTTTTTGTTTATTCATCGCCGGAATTTCATATCCATTGAAGTATCGACCGATATTGTTTGAAGTTTCAAGTATCGGTAAACCGATTGACTCCACAAACACTATATACCTCGGGGAAAAAAAAATAATCATTACAATGACTTTTTGGCACTTAAAATGTGTCATTCAAAACTCCTGTTTATAGTCCTGAACGGTTCTTTGTGCATTATATTATATTTGTATTAAAACAATGACTTAGGTTTATATTTTTCTTTGGAAATTGTAATTTAGCGGTTATACGGTACGGAAAAAGTTTTAACAAGTTTTGAGTCTCGACTCTCCGGGGAATGTTTAACTGTAAACAAAGTTGTCCTGCAAAGATAAATTTAAAACTAAAAAAATTCAAAAGTAAATCTTCGTGGAGAGTCGTCTTGAAGTATCAATTACTGAGTATGTCACTGAAAAAACCGTTTTCTTTGTTTGTATGAAAATTATAGAAGAACAAGAATCAGAAAATGAGAAGTCCACGTTCGTTTACTTGATGATGTACCTTTACTGCATATTTTTTGTAGATAAATTTTTATGGTAGTAGGTATTATATTGTAGAAGTGTTAAACAAGAACAATGAAATAAACATTAAAAATAGAGAAATGATTTAAGAATGAATAGGTTTAAAACCACGGTATACTTAAGTTTTAAGTTCAGTAATGGCGCTATTTTTGTGTGCAGTACGACACATAGTTTTCAGAACAAATATATAAAGTGTGTAGGATTATTAAATAGATATTTTCTAAATTATCAATTCGATTAATCAGTTTTTAAGTAATAATATCGATAATAATTAAGAAATCAAAACTTCAGCTGCGCGTCGAAGATAAGTCTATTATAAAGTTAAAAAAACAATAATTTGATTTCCAACTCGGGGATTGAAAAAGGTTACATGTGCATTTTTGGTAAGTTTTTCAATCTCTAAATAAATTGTATTTAATAATTATATAAACAGAGTATAAAAGCTTGAAAGTTGTACAGAAAACATTTACACGAAAACTTTAAATTATTAAAATCTGAATTGACTTTAAATATTCTCTGCCTCTTCAAAGTATTTTTTTAAATCACCTCAAAAGTTGTAAAAAAAAACGTGGATTTTTATAATTTTCAATTCATAATAATTTTAACAATTTGCAATGGACATCATGAAATTGTGTGACCACTTATCCGAGTTAGTATATAGTGTACTAACAAGGAATGAAATAAAAATAAATAGCAAATCGTTTGTCGTTCGTTTATTAACGGCAAAATCATTGCATTACAATACTCTGTCCGTGATTGACTCCATAGGGAAAACACGGTTTGCCCTCGACTTGTACGTTATGACTAGCTGAACAGATAGTCAATAAATTCAACGGCTCCGAGCTCTGACCTTCGTTAGTGACAAAACAAAATAACTCTACTTTTTTCCAATCCGAACTAATTTTGGATAAAAAATATAATCTGTCATTTATAGAGAAAATGTTACAAAAAGCTAATAGGCCAAATGTATAATACAGAATACTACTTGGCCGCTTTAGCTAAACCGAATCTGACCTAATGGAAATAAAAATAATAGGTATGTTTGTCATAGTTTAATCGACCATTGCTAAAGCGTCAGTTGATATAATTAAATTCCTTAAAATAAATAATTTTTAAAATATCGGTTAACCACCTATCTGAACATCATACTATTAATCATTTCCATCAACATTTGTTGCCTTCTTAACAAATAGTGTACATTTTGGCTTTGTAACGTTTCCCATCTCCGATTTAAACTTTACCGTTAATCGTTCACATTACCATTGTTTGTCAAATTGTCTTCGTATGGGACACATACAGTATAATTATTTTACTCTGGTACAATAACGCCTATTTTTAAGAATATTAATCATATTTCTAACGGCGATAATGGTATGTTCATAATAGAATCAACAACAGCTCTCCTGTATATAATATTGTGTATTTAGTAAATTAATAGACCAATACACAATATGTATAGGTCTACACAATATACACAGTTTAGCCGTATTATGTCATTATGTTGATGAAAAATTAAGTGAATTATCAGTGTTTACAAAGGTTATACAAATGGCAGCAGTCTTAAAATACTGTAAATATTATATGCTAACAAATTATCCCCTCTGACTAAGGCACGAGCTTTGTGTATTATATTATGCATATATGTATGTGTGTGTGTGTCTCTATTGTTTTGTTAAATGTGTGATACTTAAAAGCCGTTTAAACTCACTGGTTGGGTCGAATCCAGAGATAAACTGAGGGCACGGCTGGTGTATGGTGACTCCGGCTTCAGTGTCGCCCCAACATAGCCATCCATCAAAGGTGCCTCGGCAGTAATTCGAACCTGTCAACATACAAAAATAACATGAGACCTTTTCATAGTAATAATATGTAAACGTCGCTAGTATCTTGGATGGGTTCACGGGCCTGTAAGTTCGCATAGAAAGTATTTTCTATGACGAAGCGATACACAGAAGGTGTTTATGTTTTTTTATTTTTTTTCGTGTTTGTGGACCCCCGATACATTTTTAACCACCGGACCAATTTCTTCATGTATAAAATATAAGAAATCATATCCAATAGGTACTTTACTACGAAGCCAAAAAGTTGAAATTATTAACCGCTTTTCCCATTTAAAAGTCGAGAAAAGCGCCTAAACTATGTACAAGTTTTTCAATTAAAAATGTTTGCGCGCTATACATTTTTGAAAAGGAAGTAGAGTTAGTTTCAAAATCAAATAGCATATTTTTTAGATATGGTGCTACTTATATTAAGTGAAAAACTGAAAAAATATCGTTAACCCGGTGTCGTTTTTGGGTTATATTAGGTAAGACTATAACTTGACGGTGAGAAGTGTGATAAATAGTTCCCCGCGTCAGCTCTCCTCAGAACTAAAATATTAAAACAATACATTTTGAACAAATAATAAAAAAAACCACACTTCTCATCTGCCTACTGTATTATGTATATTATGTGCAACTTTTATAGTTATTCAACATTTATCGTTATATTCTACACAATTATTTAAATTGCATAAGTATATACTCTTAAATTGTGTTCTTTTCAAAAATGAATTAATAAATAAACTAAGACTGGTCGCTTAGTGTAGTTACATTAACGATGTAACGAAAACGGTAGATTCAATTATATCTTGTTCGTAAATTAAAATGTAAATAATTCTTATTTTAATTACTCTGAAAACAGGTACAATGTTGTATTTTAGTGAAACAGTTTAAGCGTACGGATAATTATGTAAATGGAATTTTAATCTATACAAACAATAAATCAAACTAATGATGTTTGTTTTTTTTTACATAACGATAAAAATAACAGTAATAAATCTTAAGAAACGTTGTAGCTAATACAGTGACTTAATGACATTGTTAATTATGCAAATGTCATATAAACACAACTTCGCTCAACTTGGAGACACTTCAGTGTTGAACATTGAAAAATAGCTTTTGCGTTTATTTCACTTGCACTTAATTGCCTAACAACGTATCAGTTTTGTGAAAAGTGTGACGGAAAAAAATTGCGGGTTTACTTAAAAACAAAAAATAGTAAAATATATCAATAAAATACCTATAATTTTACACACTATATCTTTGGGAAAATTGCATACCAGAGTCTTGTTTTATCAATATTGCATTAACCGATATTTTTCTGTTGTAAGAAATGTTTACAAAAATACATCTTACAACGGGCTTTCTGGCCATATAAATCAAACAACTTAGAGTAAGGCTCAACTCAAAACCCAGACAATTTTATTGTTCAAGCTTTTTGGAACTTGATTACCAATTTTATGGCATGATACACGTTTGGTTATACGAATACTTTTACCTAATAAAATGGAAACATATTAAAAAAGTTTGCTCGTAAACATGAGACGAAACTAAAGTGGTATGCCAACCAACCAAGTTGCCATCCAAGTCTTTGACTTCTTATAATAGGACATTAGACACCGAAAGCGAAACTACTTATTGTAAGCAACATGAGTCACTTCATTAAAAGCGAAAGACTCTTAAATGTATACACCATTGAGATTTGTATTGTAATGGAAAACGATAAAGAAAACGTTTCAAATTAAAAATAAAGCAATGATAAAACTATGTTGGTTGTTTCAGGTTCTATAAATGTATAATATGTTTTTTTTAAATTTAAATCGTTTATTTAGCGTTTGTATAGAAAAAAAAACAGAAGTACTCCAATTTGTTTGATCATTTATTATGATAATATTTATTTATACACTACTTACACTTATTATATTTATAACGTTTATTTATAAATCTAAAATTAGATGAATTAAATTCAAGCGTTTTGTGTTATAATACAAAAAAGTATTAGCATAAGAGACCAAAGCAGTTAATGTGAACGTGTATAAAAACATCTAAAATACATACAATATTATGATATAGAAGAAATCTTAATAAAGTATGAAAAATATAAAGACACCTATAGGTGGTACAACTGCTATGCGCTACAATAAAATATATTGTTATCTATTAAACATCGATTAGTTACCTATAAAAGATATACTTACACAAGAAAAACCGTTCCAATGTGAACGCGTGAGATTGTTATCAAAAATGAATAAAATAATTGTTTTCAAAAATAAACAATTCATAACTGTAATATCTAACGGGGATAATTTGGGGTGTAATAATTTTGCTCTCATGGATATTTATGTATAATAAGTATAATATTTATTTTTGCTTTTTACTAAAGACAACTTCAATGTTACCGTCGCAGCCTAATACAGTGACTGGCGTCTAAACCGTAAAAACCGCAAAACAAAGAGTAATACATCAACAAAATAAAAACAGAAAAATAAAACTCTTTATTACATTTGCATTGAATTAAGCTGTTTGTTTTTTGTTTACTGGTTACAAAAATCCAAAAAGTAATACCGAAAAGTATACAAAATAATATTTTCCTTTGCACCGTACTTAAACAAAAAAAAAACAGCGTTCGAGTACATGTAAAAAAAAAACAAAAGTAAAATGAGAAAAAGCAAACATTAAGAGTATTAACATTTTGTTATTGCCAATACATTTTAAAATACTCACAAAAAACAACACATAGTTGTGTTTTATATTAGGTATTTTTTTTTTTAGTCGACCGCGTACAAAACTTTCTGAAAAAAATAGCATAAAACTCAATTCTAAAATCATTGTCGTCCCCCTGGTGTGTTGGAAAAAATAACAATCAAATACGTGAGACTTACACCTTTTTTTCTAACGCTAGAAATTCTAAGGAGAAAACAAATGTTTTGGAAAAACTCCCAGCTGAAGTTATAATATATTAATATAAAACAATTACTTTTTTAATAAAGACACATACATATTATTATTAGATACATATTATTGTTTTTTAAAGACATAATCGTTTATCTAATTTTGAGAGAATTACAATAAATTGAATTACAATAAAAAATTTACCCAAATTAAGATACATTTATTATAAACGATTGTTAGGAAAATGAGTTTTAGCTTTGATATTTGAAACAAAAAAAATTCAATTAAATTTCAAACAAAAAATAGTTTGTTGTACTTTTTCGATACTATTTACTCTGATTTTTGTTTATACGGTTATTAGTATTTTCTTAAGAACACCGAGTACACGGGTTAGATAGACGGGACGTTTTGTATACGTTGAGCCCAACCAGCTAACACTTTACATTCATATATGTATATCACATTATATATTATGTATCATATTTCTGTATGTATGTAGGTATATGGAGAAAATAAGGTCGTCAGATTCTAACCGCGTAAGCTGCAATGAATTATTCGACGAGACCGCCGGAAAGGCCAAGAGGAATCGACTAGATACCCTCGTAAATTTCCTTGGCCACGCATGATTTATTTCAACCGAACGGATTAGCAAACAATGCCCGGCTAAATCTTAATCCATTGATGGATCGTATACACCGTCTACGTGGTAGCAATTTGTTTATTTTAATGGCAACATCCGGATAAAGTCGTACAGGCAATCTCATGCCGATGGTGGTCTTTACAGGCGCTTTTCCCGCGGGTCCTTTTCCTAACGTTTTCCCACTTAGTAGGTTGCGAACGCACATGCTGCTAACAGCTGGGTTTGAATGATATTGTCTATGATGTTTATTTTTATGAAACACGCTCGTCAAGGGTGGTGAAAAAGAGGCCGACGTCAATAACATATTTGAAAATAACACCATAAAATCCGAGGCCGACGTCAATAAAATATTTGAAAATAACACCATAAAATCCGTATATTATTAAGTGTGTGAATTATTGTCTTTCATAAAATATAATAACATCATTATTAAGATTGTGTAGTGTACGCAGTATCACTTTGATCAGCTGTGAGATTAATTTTGAAAACGATTTAGGAAACAAATTGATTCTGAGACCTGATTAGGATTAAGTGGAAAGTAATTTGAGTTTTATTCCAATAAGTAGGGCCATATTTTTGCTAACGCATTAGATACGTTCAATGGGTTAGGTACATTGTTGAACGAAATTTCACCTACTCAAAAAACTCCCAATTTTTTCTATCGTTGGGAAAAGCGCGGATTACCGCAAACTACAAATACCATTAGGCCAGGAGGGTGTAGTACATTTTCATTGTATGTACAATGATTGATTAAATATTTTTTTCTCGATTATTTTTTGAAAACATTCTGAAATACTTTTACACAAAAAAAACAATTTAAAGTATGTGCTCTGAATTATTCACAAAATGCAAAATTGCTCAGTTTTTCTGTATATGTATGTATATTTTGGATAAATGTATGGAATTTTGTTAAATACAAAAGGACATTTGTAAAAAAAGTCCTATGTATATGTTTTCATAACTTTTCGGCAGAAATACAAAAAACATTTAACCGTTCGGAAATTATTTTTATTTCAAAATAAATGTTTTGGTATTTTGTGTAACATGTTTCAATAATAAATGTATTTTCCCTTATCCCTTCATTTTAAAGCGGATTTTTTTTAATTTGTTTTGTACAATTTTTTTCTATTTCATTGCAATTATTACTTATTCAATTTCCAAGACTTTTTCAACCAAAAATTTGTATAAACGATAATTTTCCATAATTTTAGCGTAAGTATGGGCAGACACATCTATCTATACAATTATAAATATTTAATCATGGCATTCGAAAGTTCGATTTCAAGTAAAATATAGCTTACAAGTATTGTGTTTGACGATTTCATACTTAAACAATAATGTTCAACTCGATTAAAATTAATTCAGTTCAATCTTGAATCTTTGATAATTATTGTTAATGGACAAGTCGAGAGAGATAAAACAAATTTCATTGGGATTTGAAGTTATTTACGAAATTGTATGGATGATTTT